CCATGGAGGTGGTCTGAGCTGACAGCCTCTCCTTACCTTCCGCTTGCAGAACCGGTTTTATTGAGAATATTACCTGAACTGTTGCTGCTTGGCAGTTCCGTGACACAACTTAGTCAATACGTCTTTTTATGAACTCAATTGTTTTCTTTTGAATAGTAATCGTTATAAAACTACATGCATGAAGCGAATGACTGCACGCTTTGTTCACTATTTTTCCTTTCGGCATTCTGAGGACTTGGGGAATCATCAACTCTACGACCAGAGCCCGAACTATGAATGTTATTTTGTGTCATCCCCTGCCCCCTCCTACTTCTCACATGAATGCAGATGTTTCGGGAATTTGTGATGCACTTACGTGCGTGCAAGATAATCTGAATGAGCACCGGGCTTCTGGCAGCCTGCACCACGGGCGTGTGCTGGTAGTTTCGCTATGATATCTATTGGCTGACCTGTATGTTTCTCCTGCCAGGAGGAGTTGGGAAAATGGGTTGACGTTTGTGAATCTGTCTACACCGGCAACGTTTCGTTGTTCCCCTGTTTCCTACTCCGCGCTCCGCTTAGGCTCAGTCTCCAACCCCCCAATATTTGGAGGCAGCGGACGTCAGGATCTGTCAGAGGGAGAAAAAGCGTGGCTCACCTGCAAGTTGCTCAATCCACTGTACATTGTGCTTGGTGTCCCTTCTCCTGTTAAGCCATCCGGATGCCCTAGTTTCCGTTTCGTGATGAATTCAATTGTCACATTTCCACCTTCGTTTTTCTCTATGTCAGCCCTAGCTTGCAGACGTGATAAACTGCTGTTTTCAAACAGAAGTTCTACTATGAACGAACTTTTAAAACCGTCGCTAGGGTGGATTGAAAGGTGCAAGTTGACCAATTTTCTTGCTACCCTTCCCGGGTGGCAGTGGGAAGCAGTCACGTAAACTAGTATAGTTCTCGAATTATTGATGGTAAGCAAGTCATAAGTTTTTTTTACCTCTAGCGTTGGAGGCCAGAGATCTTAACTAATGGAGGATAGAAAATTAGGTGGCGCAGTGGAAAGATGCCTGTAGCCGAAACATTTTCGGGGCTCTGGCCTCGTCAAGCTGTTATTAAATGATCCGCAGGATGAACATGCACGAAAAAGGTTTCAGTTTTTCTTGAATATACGGCTAATGCGTGCCAAAAATGGCACTATTTTCGTAACTTTCCTTTTGATGAGGCGTTATCGGTGAAGACAGGCTGGAGGGCCGTCAACTGATTTCAGCAAGTGGCGCTGGGTTTGGGCAATTACAAGAACTTCGAACCTTTTTAGTCCACATGTGAGCTGGTCATTTAGTAGCTTTATTTGGCATTTGCCTACTACTTCATCCAGTTCTGCTATCCTTAGCCCGGAGGTGTAGGCAATGCGATTTTGTACAAGTTCTAGCTTCGGGATGGTTTCATCTGGACACCATGCCTGGGTCAAACCGTCACGAGTGTTGTGTTTTTTGGATAAAGACCAATCTTTTCCCCGCTTGTTCTAATCTGGACTATTCGGTTCAGTCTTTTTAAGGGGAGGATGGGCGAGCGCCTTTGAATCCGCTATTGGTTATAAAAGTTCGCAGAAATTGCACAAATACATAGGGAACGTTGCAGGGGTAGTCGTCTGCATTGTTGCATGCCACGACCGAGTAGCTGTACGGAGATGTTAAAGAACTGAATAGTAGGTCGTACATAATTAGAGGAAGCAGTGTGTTCTGTGATTGGCCTGCGGAGGTCGCACTCGGTTCGTGTACAAGCAGGCATGGCGTTCTGGGATGAGCGTGGTGCGTCCATCTTTGAAGCCAGCTGAACTTAAGAGGCCAGTGTGAATGAGAAGACGCGTAAGACTGGAATGCTACCAACACATGCCCTCAACGCTCGTTCAAGTAAGAATAGATTCAAATTAAATTCAGCGTGATCACAGTCACATTTTCCGTATGATGACGCCCCGCCGTTAGTGAAAATCATCCTTGGGTTGTTCCTTAATTCAGACCCGTCGTCAGTATCCTTTTGCGTGACTTCTTCGAAGACCCAAGCATTCCTGTAAGACGCCAGATCAACTAAAACCGATAAATAACTGTAGTAGATAGTCGTACACCGCTTCATTTCACAACGTACCCGTCCTGGTTGATGTTATTGCAAGCCAGTACACGTGTATTTTGCAAGGCGACTAATTGTCTAGCTAGCTGACGACGGCTGATGAGCTAGAAATGGCTATCCTAGTGTTCATTGTCTTCGTTGGTAATAACTTAACATAAATAAAATGTTACTGAAACTTAATAAGTAACATTACAATTAGTCGCCTTGCGAAATACACTTGGAGGTGTCCAAGCTTGTAATGGCTTCAATCAGGACGGGTACGTCCTGAAACGAATCGATGTACGTATATCTACTACTGTATATTCCCGATCTAAAACCGACAAGGCAGCGGACCCGTGGCTCAAAGGTTAGGGCGTATGACTCTGAGCAGAGTGGTCTCGGGTTCGAAATTCGAGTGTGGCAGCAATTTCAGCGGCAAAACTGGAGTTGGGTATCAATATCTGACGAAGGCTAATGAGCCAGAAATAGCCATCCTAGTGTCCCCGTCTTTGTCGCTAATACCTAAACATAGATAATTAACTGTCTTTCGAAAACTATGTTTCGGTTAACATTTGTCGCAGTATTGAGCGTGTCGATGAATTTTCGCCAGGAAACTAATTAAGATTCACAAATTAGATCCCAAGCGGTTTGAGGATATTCAACGTTGAGTTGGCATACATTGTCAAACTGTACTGTCGGCCGGGGCCTGCCGCGTGTCGGGGCTGTAAACCATCACTGAGTTCTTGTACACAATAAGCAACTCCTACTGGTCTGAGCCCTCTTCTTCCTGTACAAAAATGGGCGTGATATTTGTAGTGTTCTTAGTAGACTCACGGCTTGGACCTGTACAAGGGCACTGCTTGCCACCTCATGGATACGTGCTCAGATAGGCTGTCCTAAAAAATTCTGCAATCACCTCATCTGCGCGCCGAGGG